TAACAACATAGATTCCCAGATGATATAGCAGTATTAGCATCTAGCAAGGAGGAATTAGAGATAGCTTTAAATATAATGGAAGTAGTATTGACAAAACACTATCGCATGAAAATAAATAAAAGTAATATGAAGATTGGAAAAACTTTGGCGGTTGTTGTAGAACAAACAGAATAGCTCAAAACCCCAACGCCAAAACACGACACTGTAGTTGTCCGAAGCACTTTTCGGTTTACTCAGTTTACTTCAGTCCCTGAAGAAGGTAACTTTCTTACCGAAAATTGCTTCGGACAACTACAGTGTCGTGTTTTGGCGTTGGGGTTTTGAGCTATTCTGTTTGTTCTAAAATAAAAGTAAAACAAAAATACTGGTGTTTTAGGTATGTAGGAATTCAGGTAAGTTAGGACGGAAGGAGTAGGGATATAAAGCAGAAGATAGCGCAAAAAAAGTTACAAGCCTTCGAAATGTTGTGTGGAAGTCAATAAGAGATAAGAGATAGATAGGACATTTTCTCATCGTCAGGCATGAAGGTCTACTCAGGGACATATTAGAGGCAGAAACGGGAGTTAGGAGGAGTAGAGGTAGACCTAGATTAGATTACTTTTTGCAAATAGTTAAAGATGTGAGTTGTTCTAGTTTTAGGGAAATGCGAAGATTAACTCAGGATAGGAAAGAGTGGAGGTGCGTGTCCAACCAGTCTTAGGACTGGCGACTTTATGATGATGATGATGATGATGATGAGACAGTCTCAAGATGGTCACTTTAGCGCCAAATTCGAAAATTTGTAATTGACCGTTCCTGAGAAATCAGATAAAAAATATTTATTTTGATTATTTTTTACAAACGTGCTTCTGACTGTGCAAGAACATTGTGCCAAATTTGAACTATATCGATCCTGTAAGTCCTGTACTGTTTCTACGTATGCATGTACGTTCGAGACAGACTGTATATTGTATTGTATTATAGGCAACTTCAAGACGTTCGTCTTTTTTAAAAGAACGTCCCAAATAATGAAATCGGCGATAGTGATATCAATTTTGTTTCTTGTTGCATTTTACCTATGGATAGGTACTGACTTATACCGGATCGATTATATTAGCAAAAAGTTCAATCAACTTCCATTAATGAGAGAAGTGAAAAAGATTACGGCTTACGTCGTCCAGCATTGAAACACTACATCGTCATTACCAGACTAGTATTTTCCACTATCCTGCTGGTTTGCCTATTATTATATATGTGTATACACTCTTTTTATGCAGAGTACATCCGATAAATATAAAAATGGAACATCTGAAATATAAATGTATATGTATTTGTGTATACGTGTGCTGATGAGATCCAAATTGCGATCACTGACCAAAAGCTTTCGTTCTATCACTTATTTGTACAAATGAAAACGGTTAAAATAAATTCGTGGTAAATTCAGTTATGAATTTTTTGGGAAAACTCATGGACCGGTCATTTTAAGTTTTTAATTTTGTTTTTTTAAACTATTTTTTATTTACATGCATGTATCATCGTGAGATATGCGGTCAAACATCCCTAACTCGAACTTCCTATGTCTAACAAATTATGCTCGAGTTAAAAAAATTTAGTTAAGGAAAATCTCTATTCGGCAACCATTAGCAAATATGGTAGGTATTTTTAGTAAAAGTCCGGTAGAAATTGAATATAGTTCCTGTAAATGCATGAGAATAATAATTTGAGTCCCTGATTGGCGTTGTGGCTGATTGTTCCAAAGAATATCAAATGAATTTCGAATTAAATTTATAAAAGTTTAAGTATAAACAAAGTTTTTCCAAAAATTAAATTCGATAAAAAAAGCATTGTTCGTATAGTCTTGCACCATTAGTCATCATGTACGTTGAAAATTGAATGATTGGAGTGTGTTTGTAAGAAAGCACTTTACCGAATTTTTAATAATTTCACTGTTTTTTCACGAAAATAATTATACTGTCATTGAATCTGTAGAAACCATAACACTAGAAGTTTTTTTGCATGTATATATAAACGCAAAATTTTTGTAGACAACGCAACACGGAGTTTGAAGGGAAGAAATATATTTAAGGATTAATGTATTGGTTTCTGAAAATACGTATACGCTTTTGTTTTTGATATATGACCACAAGGGTGAATTTATGAAAGCCAACTCAGAAGTAATACGTATTTATATTGGATTGAAAAGAAGTCACTTTTATCAGATCCAACTGTATACAGAGTGTTTTTCAACAATAAATCTAAGACTCCATCCCTAAGTTGTGCTTTCAAATAAGTCTAATAAAATTTTGTTAAAAATTTACGAATATTATATTTTTAACACCGAATTGTATAAAAATGCAAGATGAATTGCAATGGTTTTAAAAATGGTACCTCTATGTCAAACAATTACATTAAAATGAATCTTAACAATTTAATATAGAAATAGAGAAAAAAATATAACGATAGCAATTTTTGTCCAACTAAAAGACCTTGCATAACCCTCACTGAAAATAGTTTTTTCAGTTAAATTGACTGCAACTGGAATATGACTTTTTGATCAAAAGTTCTGATGGGGCATGACATTAATAAATAAGAAGTTTCGGAGCTACGGATGGAGACAGCGCACGATTTTTAACCCATGTTAGTATAAGCCAGTAAGATATTATTATTATTATTATTATTATTAGATATCGATTATCTCTTCAGGTAGAGGCTAAAGTATGTAGAAATGTTCAATTCAAAACATACTGAGTTTACAAAGGAACACACAATGGTGGTCTACACCGTGATCTTAATAACTATCTCCAAGGTTATTTCAAGATTAAGTGCATTTTTAAAATTATCGCTGCTAAGTTTTAAGTAAAGCTTTTTTCGTTCATTAAGTACATTTTTTTGAAAAAGGTTGTTAAGATTGTTGTACGGGTGCGAAACGTGGATGGTGGGCTCGGCGGAAAAGGAAAAGCTATTGGGATCCGTCAAATGGGCATACACCATCATGTGTTTGCAACGTTCTCTTAAATAGGCTTAGCACGTGCAAGTCTGATATGATATTGCTTAAATCTCCAATTATATAACGTGAATCACTTTTTAAATCCGAAGTTTGTAAAAAGTAGGCAGTAAACTTGACGGAATTTGAAGGCTAGCTTCCGGATTTGTTATTTCCGAATTTTATAATGTGATTGGCATTAAAAACACGCTCACTTTCAACGAAATTTCCTTTCCGAGGATTTGTGTCAGCCCAATCACATATTGCGTCAATACTTATCATTTAATCGTAATTTAAAAACTTGGAAATTGCACGGTACACTATAGGAACTACGATAAATTTTCCCTAATCGGCGCCATGTTTTTAGGCTCCTCTCATTTGACGGATCCCAATAGAAGCATTCGAAATTTGGTATTACTGAAAAATGATGAAGATACCATGAAGAGGAAAGATTAGACATGAAGAGGTATCAGAAGGAGTAGGAGAACAGAGGCCGCTATAAAAGTCAATAAGACATAGGCTAGACAGATTGTTAGGAAGGACACCTTCTCAGGCTTGAAAAGCTAGTTAAAGACATATTAGATACAAAAACAGGTGTTAAGGGTAGAAGAAGTAGACCTAGGTTAAATTACTTTTCACAAATAGTTAAGGATGTGGCATGCTCTGGATTTAGAGAAATCGGAAATGCGAAGATTACTTCAAGAAAGGGAAAGAGTGAAAGTGCGTATCCAACCAGTCTTAGAAATGACAACCCTATGATAATGATGATGATGATATTTCTTGGTTCTCCGTTGACTGTTTAAGCATTCCATAAAGGGATTCACTTGTAACGTTGCTCGTTTTAGACTGGCGTATAATTTTGTATCTTTCCCTTATTTGTCGACTTTGGATTGGATTCGAAAACACGACCTGATGACTTGCCAGTCACAGTCTTCCTTTTTTTGATCATCTTGTATCAATTGGTTTTAGTAGTGAATGTACCTACTCAATAAGTATAGGATTGTCACTTACGTTCTTCTACAGTTCTTACTTGTTGCCGTCTGTTAATTCACCCAGCATCATTACCGATGGATAAAGGGTTCTGTCTGGTGTCGCTGCACTTGTTGCGGTCGTTGATACCGTCGAGGTTAAAATGTCTGGACTCTTGTCTGCGGCACTGATGTTGATGATGATGATGATGGTGATGATGCTGACGACGACGATGATACTGCAGCTGATAGTACCGAACACATGTGTGTATGGGTACGTCTTGCAATTACAAAGGTACTTTAACTGAGATTCAATTTAATTCGAAATTTTACGCCAACTTCAAGGATGTTTGTTGCGAAGGTCTAACTAATAAGTGGTCTAGATGTTGATTGAATACACTGCGTGGTGTGTACCAGCAAATCTAAAGAAGGGGAAAGAGGCTTTAAACTCCCACAACAAAATATACCTTTTAGAAGTAGGGAATTTCATGGTTTATACAAGTTTTCAACTGCAAATGGTAAATTCACAAAAAGTAATAAAAATTTGTTATGATATCATAAAGGGGACCTTTAAGGGTACAGAAGAACCATGGACGCATCCCATAAAGATCATGCATTAATTTAGTTTGAGCTTATAAAATATTTTTAGGTAAATTATACCTATAATGTCAACCAGATTTTAAAAAAAATTCCTTATTTTATGAAAGCGATGCAAATGGAAGATTTCTTATAAAATTAATACCGAAAAGAAGTTAAAAAGTAAATCTTGTTATGACGGATTTTATAAAAATTTAATTGTAACATACAAATCATTATTGTCAAATTTGTTGGGTGAATTTTCAAGCAATTTCGTATGTTTTTATTCTACGGAAAGAAGTTTTTTGTTTGAGATGCATTTCTACTTAAATGATATCTCAGATAATGAAGATACCTTATCTTGTGTGCATTGTCTAGAGACAGTATCTGTGAAAGACATGCCATATTATCATTTAAAACGTATTTCCAGTTAGATAGGTAAGTAGCACCGGCTGAAGTACGAATAAATAGAAAAACATTATCGGTTAATTTTCGAATACAGTGTTGTGGACAGCTGTTGGGATTAAGAAAATTTAAATGGTGGCAGAGTAAAAAAAAATGTATTTTTCCGATGAAAACTGATAAAATCGGAAAATATTATGTAACCGATGGTTGCCTACTCCAACAACATAGGTCGTTCGTTTTATACGAGACAACCCGATCGTCATTCGGCTTTTCGTCTGGACCGACCTGGCAAACACTACACGAAGCTCTGCGAATCCAGTACGCCAGTCCGCGACAAACAACCGCTTTGGTTGGTAGGGGTGTATTCGAAATCGGCATTTTTTCCATCATCATTACTATCTTAACCTTTCTATTATCAATCATCTAATAATAGTAGTGCACGTTGGCATACATAAATAATAAAACACATACGTTATTATTACAAAACGCGTTAGCTATGTTAGTGTGGTAGCTTGTGCGAAAACGGCCATTTTCGAAAACGCACCAATGTGCAATATCCTACTACTACTACATACCAAATCTACAATAATAACAGTTGATGTGTGAACCGAAAAATTCGTTGGCTGCTATTTGTTTGTGTGCGGATTTGTAAATATTTTTTCGTTTTGTCGAGTTTTCTGTGTGCCGAGAATTAATAAGGTTCAAGTTCCGTTGTCATCGTCGTCATAATCATCTCTCGCGGCCCTTGACAAGAGGATGGCGAGCATGCACGTTGAAGTAAGTTTTTTTTTCATTATTATTTATACGAACTAGTTGGTTTTGTTTGCCAGCTATAATTAATCTCCCTCTCTGTCTTACTCCCTAGGCCGTTTCACAGGTTATGTTTTCTAACCTCAAAGCGATCCAAATATTCGAATTGTTCGGACTGCTAAAAATAAGCTTTGCTATAATTATATTCTCGCTTTAACGAAAATCTTAGCTTCCAGAAGCAATAATAACCGATAACCTTACATGAAGCAGTTTAAGCTATTAACCTTTTTGTTATAAAACATTAAACCTACCTACCTATAGTTGATTTAGTGATAACTGATAACGAACGTAAACAATAATAATAACAACGATAATTTAAACGTATTTCTCTTTTTGAGTTGAGACATGCATAAAGCCGGTAATTATTAATAACGTCTGTTTGCGGAAGTATTCACCGTAGCATTTATTAATAATTCAGCGTTGAAAAATTGATAGGTACGTGAATTGTTTTTCGATTAGAAACGTGTGTCCATTGCCCCAAGCATATGCTAAACAACAACTACTACTCAAATAACTTGCCTACTACTGACCAAAGTTTAAAAATAGTAAATACCTACTCTAAATGACGAATTAATAAACACCTAATTGTCTATAAAATCTGTTTACAGCTGCACGCGTATCCTAAATTTATTATTAACATTTTGCCTAATGGAGCAGTTATTGACCTCTGCAAATTGTACTCTTACCTTGTTCTTTTATTTACGACCTATGCCATTTAGTTATCAATTATTACAAAATTTTACGATGCTGTAAATAAAATCTTTTATAGCCTAAAATTTGCTGTCATGTAAATGTTCCAATCTAATTTTTTTAAACACTTCTTTTGATACACCATTTACAACCATTTGCCACCTTTTGCTACTTTCTACTTTTCATTTTAAATACTAATCATCCTTCCTTAAGTTAAGTATATTAATCAAAATTGTTCCTGCAGCTCACTGCCGATACTATTCTTTTTTTTTTTTTTTTTTTCNTTTTTTCAGTTTACCAATTCTATTTTGTTACATAGCCAATAAAACCCGGTGTTTATTTTTGAATGAATATTTTAAAATAAAACTAGACTAACAGAAATCACTTCATTAGCCACTTTTTTCTAGAGAGACCGACATTTTTTCGGTCAATATTGCCAAAAAGTTTATATTTGTACCAATAATATGTCAACCTTCTGAGCTTAACGTAATAATTAGGTATTACAGATAATTACAAAAAAGCCAAGGTTTTAAAAATTACTCAAAGCGCAAAGAAGAAAATTTTTCAGAAAGTACCTCGAATTTTAGGTTAGTTTCGTTATTTTAAATTATGAAACTATACAACTAATTAATATCATATACACCTATTCTAATTAACCGTTTCTAAAAAACACAAAGCTATATGTTAGAAAATGTGCCTACATTTCTTTATGAATTGTTATCTCTTATTCTCTCAATCCTTATCTCTCTTTGAAGACTCGTTTAATTTCTCTCGTTGTAGGTACTATAAAAAATTTAAATATTTAATCAAATATTTGATAATTATGTACATAATTTATAGTAAAAACAATAAGACAGTATACTGCCGAGCTACTAGCACCATCGATTGGTAAAGCACACTTCTACGTAAAACCACTAATTAATCTTACAGTTAAAAAAAAATATTTGTCTACTAATTTACACATAAATGAAGTACAAAAGATGGTAGAAATCTGAAGGATTTCTTGAATCTATCTGTGGTTTTCTCTGTAATTGAAATACCGCAGTGGAATGTTTTTTATCTTCTGCTACTACAAAGTTCAAAAAACTCTAATTAAAAAATAATTAAAGTAGTAATAATCGATTTTATGAACTTAGCACCTACATAAATAAAATAAATAATTGTGTGATTGACATGACAGTATTTTTTTTCTGGACAAGAGATATCCTATGTCCTTTCCTGTCATCCTGGCAGTGTGTACAAAATTTCATGATGATCGGTTCATTGTTCTGTTTAAATTTTATAAACCACACACTTAATTGATAAAATATATATTATTAAAAACATCTGACTTCATAGCATGAGTATTTTTAGGATAAAACTTATCCAGAATCACCCAGAACTTTGTAGACTAAACACAATCCAAAGAATAATAAACTTAAGAAGTAATACAGGATGTAAGCAAGTAAGATATATACGGTTTTTGCTAAGGAATACGTATAAGTATATACAGTCTATAGTGCAGTTCAAAATATTTGTGTTTGGTTTTTCAAAAGATGTTTATATTACACCCACTAGTAGAAATTGCAATAACGATCTCTTTACTTATTATGTAAACCGAGTGCTAAGTATAAGTAAATCTCCAAAACATGGAATTTGTAAAATCACTATAACCCGTTCGAATTAGAACGGTTGGATTGTATACTCGGATCTGGGTACTCGGGTAGAAAACCCTAATATTGACTCGAACAGCGTTGCGGTCATTCAGTCATAGCCACTACCCCTTTCCATATATGGCTGTATCCTTTGATTCGACGTTTTAATATTCAATTAATTCCAGAAAGTCGGATTACGAGAGGAGATGCCGCGTGCCCGGTTTGGATTCGGTACCCGGCGAATCAGACACTTTTTTTTTAGAATCCGGCCGATTACCGGATAATGACGCCGAGTAATTCTACCAAAGAAAACAGAAAAACCAAACACAAGCAATAACAATTTAATTAGTACCCATAACAAAAAACCTACCTAATTATAATTGGTAACAAAGACTGTATTGGAATAAGGTCGTTTGTCCTAATTTGTACACACAATCCATATCACCTCGTTTAACCCGCCGAAAAGTGACTTGCACACTCAATTCCTATCACCTCGCTTAACCCGCCGAAAAGTGACTTGCACACTCAATTCCTATCACCTCGTTTAACTAGGCAAAAAGTGACTTGAACACTCAATTCCTATCATCTCGTTTAACCCACCAAATAGTGACTTGCACACTCAATTCATATCACCTCGTTTAACCAGGCAAAAAGTGACTTGACACTTAATTCCTATCACCTCGTTTAACCCACCTAAAAAGTGACTTGCGCACTCAATTCCTTACACCTCGTTTAACCCTGTAAAAAGTGACTTGAACACTCAATCCATATCACCTCGTTTAACACGTCAAAAAGTGACTTGCACACTCAATTCCTATCACCCCGTTAACCAGGCAAAAAATTACTTGCACACTCAATTCCTATCGCCTCGTTTAACCAGACAAAAAATGACTTGCCCACTCAATTCCTATCACCTCGTTTAACCCACCAAATAGTGACTTGCACACTCAATTCCTATCACCTCGTTTAACCCACTAAAAAGTGACTTGCACACTCAATTCCTATCACCTCGTTTAACCCACCAAATAGTGACTTGCACACTCAATTCCTATCACCTCGTTTAACCAGGCAAAAAGTGACTTACACACTTAATTCCTATCACTTCGTTTAACCCACCAAAAAAGTGACTTGCACACTCAATTCCTATCACCTCGTTTAACCCGGAAAAAAGTGACTTGAACACTCAATTCCTATCACCTCGCTTAACCTACCAAAAAGTGACTTTCACGCTCGGGTAGAAAACCCTAATATTGACTCGATCGGCGCGACGGTCATTCAGCCATAGCCACTACCCCTTCCCATACATGTATACATCCAGCTCTATCCTTTGATTCGACGTTTAAAGTCAATCCAAAAAGTCGGATTACGAGAAGAGATGCCAGATGCGCGGTTTGGATTCGGTACCCGGCGAATCAGACACTTTTTTTAGAATCCGGCTAGTTACCGAATAATGACGCCCAGTAATTCTACCAAAAAAATAGAAAAAGCAAACACAAGCAATAACAATTCAATAAATACCTTTAACAAAAAACCTACTTGATAAGAATTGGTAACAAAGATTGTATTGGAATAAGGTCGTTTGTCCTAATTTGTGTCATTTATTGATTACTGTACTAAATTATTTCTTATTTCGATATAAGAACTATATGTTTTATGGTGAGCAAGAATACATCAGTATGGATGGACTGTTGCAGTTTATTTCTGTCGGTTGATGATGTATCAAAACGATATTTTGTCACACTCTGCAGATTTTTAGTGTTTATAAACGTTATAGGCTGTTTCAACTATTTCAACTCAACCCTTTCGTTGAAAATTCGCTAACTAAGAATTAGAGATTCATTGGTTTAGTGTTTAAAGGTTTAAACGACTTTTTTATCGGGACGGTTTGGTTTGAGACGTTGGTCAGGGTGGTATTTAATGGAAAGCACGCCAAAACGATAGAACACCCCTCAAAAGCTATTAATTCCATTTACATTACTTTTTTATTTATACGAAAGCATGGCTGAAGGTGTGTAGCAAATATTAATTAAAAATTAAAAGGAAAACTCGCCCCTAATTACCACAAAAAACTTTATTTGAGCGGACACGTGTTTCGCCCACTTCATACGTGAGCATTATCAACGCGAGACGTCGATGTCGATGATTGTATGTAATACAATATTCCTATGGTCGGTTATGAATTTGCCAATAGGGTTTTATGTGCATCTTATTTTATTGTTTTTACCATCTTATCTGTCTAATAATAATGTCACATTTATTACACTTGTATGTGTATGTGACGTAATGTTTAGACAACTCCTAAGCTTGTTTTCTGATAAAATTTGCTTTTATGTGAGGACTAGACAACGTAAAATTTTTAACAATGCGAAATTAATAGCGCAAATAATGCTTTTTAATATGCCGCAATAAGTATAATAAAAATTGTAAACTGAATAATAAATGACAAATTGGTAAAGGCTTTTGCGGCCCAACTAATGTTTTTCTGATTCGGGTTTAAAAGCGTCGTGTGTTGGTGTTGGAAGCCCTGGCTGACGATGACAGCTGTCAAAAATGGCTGACGATGATGGCTAATGGCCGTGACGTCAGAGTAGGCGTTGAGAGGGTAAAACGCTACAGAAAATACGACGAGGAACCTTCATAAGA